TCATGTATATATATATATATATATATTTATGTGTGTGTGTAGATAAGTGTCTATATTTCCATATATTATATATATATATATAGGAAATTGATTAAAATGTGAGTTATACATTTATATTTTTATTTATTTATAAATGTATGTGTAAATAAAGCTGTATATTATATATTATATTAACGCACATACACCATACACACACACACACACGCACACACACATATAATCACACAAATATATACTTATACAAAAACGCAGTGTCATTTTGTTTTTGGTTATAGAAGTATGTTAAAATGGTATTACAAATTCAAGGTTCATTTTTGTGTAGAAATTTGGAAATTTTTACCAGTTGAAATTAAATAAAATGTGAATTTTTTGGCAATCATTTTCCGCTAGAATGCCGGTGAACTTGATGAATTATTTACAAAACATCCATAACACGTTCCACCTGGTCGTCTCTCATTGGTTGAAGTTGACTGGCACCGCCCACTTAACCTTGTTTTCCAACCAATAGCATCCCACTTACCTGTATTTAGGTCGATGACGTGTTGAGGAACGATAAGCATGGAAAAATGCATGCACTGTCTTCCTCCTTTTCCTGTTCTAAGTTTCGTTTCGTCTCGTTCCGTTTGTCGGTTCTTTCATGTCTCGTTATTTTTGCTAGTATTATTATTACAAATTGTTTTTTGCCTGTGTCTCTTTTTTATTCTCATTCGGAATTTTTATTACTCATCTTGTCAATGTTCTTGAGAATTTGTTTCTAGACTACGTTTCTTTTGCGTTATTATTTCTCTTTACAATAATATATATATATATATATATATATATATATATATTTATGTTTATTTAATTATTTACAATTACTATTTTTAATAATCATTATTGATTTATTTTTAATATTAATTATGAGTAGAATAGAAATTTTAATAATAATTTTGGTTTAACTTGAACATTTTTAAATCATTGGTTTTCATGATTTGCCACCCCTCAAAATTTGCCGTCCAAGGTCGGTGCCTATTGGGCCTATCCATAAATCCGCCTCCGCTACCTAACTACCTACCTACTTACCTACCTACCTACCTGCAAGTCAGATATGCAATGTAAAAAAAACCGATAATATTCCAATAGTTCAACATTCATCATTTTACTTTCGCTTTCTTGCATGGTCTATAGTTTCAGTTATTAAACTACTACTACTAAAACATTATTTAAGATATATGTTGATGGATGTTTGTGTGTGTCTGTGTGTGAGTGAGAGTGTGCGTATGCGTTTGTGTGTGTGTGTTTGTTTGCAGTCGAGTTTTTAAATTGCATGTCGGCCAAAAATTAAACAATTTCTATTGAAAGTTATTTATGGCTGTTGCTTGTCTTAAAGGCAATCGACTGAAGAACACATACTTAAAAATACACATAGACTCGTAGCCAAATCACACACGCACACACACACATGCACACACACAATTTTTTTATTCTAAATACATTAATATATGTACGTATGTTAACGTGAACTTTTCTGGTTTTTCAAACGCAAATATTAGTCTCTTTCATTTCAATGTTAGCATCTTCAAATATTTTAAACTTATTTTTTGCATGTACGTTGTTCTTCATATGAAAATCCTTCAGATGCAGTAAGTATTTTTTAATCAACAAAGCATTCCATAAGTTTCATTTTGAAATATTTCGATTGCTTAATGCTTACAAGTGAATTTATAATCGCACTTTTTTTTACTTTGGCCACTAATATTAATTATATTGTTAGTATAAAAGTTATTTTTTTTATGAGTGACTGCAGCCATGTTTGACATTTTTGTTTGGCACTCCATTGAGGCAGAGAGGTGGTTGCTTGATGAGACGGCTTTGAGACGACAGGAGCACCAACACGGGGTTGTAAATGTTCTAATTATTATTCCAACAGAGACAATCATTTTCATTCAAACAATTATTATTGTTATCATCTGTCATTATATTATTTCTGTTAATTTTATGGAAATATTTTTTATATAGTTGTTATTATTATTTTCAAAATTAGATAATAAGAAGAAAAAGAATAATTATCATAAATAATAATAAAAACAATAATAATATAATTAACAACAACCATACATAACAAGTCTCTCTGACGGAATAACAAAGTTACAGGAACCACAACATAACTCTAAACTTGCAGCAAGAATGATGACCACATCTGCTACAGCTGGTGGCGACTGGAGGGTTAGTTTCTCCAGTAAGGACTGCCCACTAACGCCTTAAACCATAGGACACCTGGCCGTGTTTGCGGTGTCCAGGTTCGAAAACAGAGTAACCTCGCTCCATCATGTGTGACTCTATCTATGTGTGGTGTGTTGTTTTAGGCGCGCTCATGAACACCGTGTGTCGCTGGTAGCTCTGAAAGAAGTGCACCTAAAAAATGACCTCTAACCTTTAACTGCAAAAAGTTTATATTTCAAATAATTTTGCTATTAAATTATAAACGGCAATGATTATGAAACGATTTTAAAACAATGGGTAGTTTCAGCTTTAACGCAGTTTTTCTTAAACGATCTGTGTTAAAGAATTTATTTGAACTCTTTTTTTTGCAACTCACTCAACATTTTAACGCGTTGGTCTGAGTAGGCTTGTGTAAGTTTCTTAAGAATTGTTTTCGATAATAACAGCACAAGGACAACACAAACAACAACATATATAACGACACAACGAACAATACAAATAACAACGCAAAGAACAACTAATTAAGCAAAACACAAACAACAACGCAACAAACAACAACACAACAAACAGCAACATTCAACAACACAACACCACAACAAACAACACAACATTCATCAACATAACAAACAACAACACAACAAACAACATTCGGCAACACAACAAACAAACAACGCAAACAACAACAAACAAACAACACAAAAAACAAAGCTATGCAGACGACCATATAAATTGTTGAAAGTTTGAATGAACTGAACAACTTGTTATCAGTCAGCATGATGAGCTCTTGTAAGGAGTGTGTCTGACTGTCGCGCGCTTGAAATGAATGTTGGTGTCAGATGTAATGTCGACCATGATGTTGGTGATGATGATAACTATTAGGACGATGATGATGGTAATGATTATAACGGTGATAATGATGATGATGATAGTGATTATGATGATTGTTTCTAATCATGACGCTGATGTCATTTCCCATGACAACTATGATAATTAGAAAAATAAGGTAACTAAATAAGGTTAAAAAAGGTTAAAGGTCTTTCTAGGTTCAGAGAATCAACAACAAACACACGAGCAACGTAAATAAATACATGCTAAACGACGCACCACACACGAGGCATGATGTGATGGGTGGAGATCATTCTGTTATATTAGAATCGAACCCGGTCACTGCGAAACAGCACTATGCGACCCTAACCTTTAGGCCATCACGCACCCATCAAGCATTGATGATGAGAATGATTGTAGTGATCAAAAACAAAAAACAGTAAAAAAACATCCAAAAGTGTAGGAAGCATTATGCGTCGAGCTGTGGTGATGTGGTTCGAACGCGCGTAAATCCCAACCTTATTAACCTCAATGGTGTTGACTATGTAGCCTGGTAATAAAGCTTGTTGTTTGTATCAATAACCAGGGGCGGATTCCTACCAAACCATGGAAGAAGGGAACACTGAACATTCCGTGTAAAATAATTTAGTCTTTTTTTTAAGTCATAACACTTATTATCTCTGCAATTCAACTGGATTAGTAGGAAGAAAATATCACCATCTTTAGAATTTGGAAAATCATCACCCTCCACTGCGAAACACTTGATCCGCTACTATTTCAATTTAGGAACTTTCCACTTGCTAGGGACGATTATGGAACAAAATTTTTTATTCGTTAGGTTCGAATGATACTTTAATGATACAAGATACTTTATTAATGTTCCAATTGTCTTATCACTGAGATGCACTAATTTCAAATTTGTTGCTAATATTTACAAGAATAAAAAAGTAATTATTAAATACTTTTATAATGATTACGATGAATCTATGAGAAATTTTAAATTTATAATTCAGAATAGAATATTTAACATCTATTTTTCGAATTTTAAATCAAAAAACCAATCAATTACAACAATTTCATTGGTTTTTATGAGAAATTTCCAATCTTCGTGCTTAAACGAACTCCATAATTTCTCGATCCGGAATGAGAATTGTAACATTGCCCACCATGGCAAGTCAGGACTTTCCTCTTTGCAACAAAATTTTTATCACTGACAACATCTGATATGACAGTAACAAAACAATTGATCTGAACATTTATAACCGATTATATTTTAAAAACGAACAGCCACCTCTGTGAAATTCTTAACGCCAAATTAATATTATAAACAGGCGACGATACCGTGCTTAATATTTGACACAAATCGTTAGAAAAATCGAAATAGGTTGAATGAATGATTTGTTTAGTGGCATACTGTTAATTCCAGGATTTCGATTGTGTTATTGCAAACCAGAGCTATATCTGGACGGAGAGATTTAAAAAGTACAGACACTGGGCGAAATAATAATAATAAAAGAAACATCCTTTTCTTTACATTTTAAAACATTCATTGTAATTTTAAAATAAAAGTAATAAAACTTATAATGTAAATTATATAGATACTCTACAATGCTCGCCATATATTTTAAATGGGCACAATGCCTGCTAACATAATAATTATAATGAACCAGGAACGACTAATAATAATTATTATAATAATAACATGATTTTAATAATAGAAGTGATAAAGTTTTACAACGCAGTAGTCGTTAAGAAACTAAGCCAAAGTTTTAACACATCGATGGGGGAATCGTAAAATAGCGCAAGGCTGGTTCATTGTTAGAAAGCATACAGGAAACATTAAGTTGAATGGTACTGTATATATATTGGCTCATTGATGCTAGTCAGCATCACAGTTCGATAGTTACATTACTTAGAAATTTTTTTTAATTTCAATCAAATTATTTACAATTTTTAATCAATAGAAAAAAGATATGGACAGAGAAGCAAAAGACTCAAAAAAACCGAAAGGCCAGATGTCGGCTTATGCATTCTTCATGCAAGCCACGAGAGAGGAGCAAAAGAAAAATCATGGTGAGTTCTTGTCCTTTTCGGAACTTTCCATGCAGGCTTTTAAAAAGTGGAAGAATTTATCTGACGAAAACAGAAAAATATATAAAGAAATGGCAAGGAAGGATTCCGTAAGATACAAAAAAGAGATGGCCAACTATGTACCACTATGAGGTGGTAACAAAAGAAAACGAAAAACCAAAGAACTCAACGCACCAAAGAAGGCACTGTCTACATTTTTCAAATGATGAACGCCCAAAAGTGAAGGCAGAGTTTCCAGGTATGCCTTTCGCAGAAATTGCAAAGGAATTAGGCAGAAGATGGTTGGTGTGCGAAAATAAGGAAAAATATCAAAGCATGGCAAATAAGGAAAAAGAAAGATATGAAAGGGAGACAAAAGAGTACAATGATATATCGGCCGCATTAGTCTCGACAGCTGAAGTTGATAAAAGTCCAACAGTTTGTTAAAAAAGCAACAAAAAATAAGGAGAAGCATCAGGCAAAGATGCGAAAAATTGATATCGCAATTGAAAATTATGATAAAACAGATGAGAAGGATGAAGATGATGAGGAGGAAGACACTGATTAATTGCGAGATTTCCTCGAATTAATTTTTAATTCGTTGTTTAGTGTGTTAAACTTTTATTACAGCTTTACATGTATGTAAACATGTATATATGTACAATGCTACATTTATTTCATTACGCAATGACATAATAAATGTGAAATAAAATATATTTATGTCTTTTCATATTCTATTTATTGGCTGGCTTGCAGCAGGTTTTTATTATTTTTTATTTATTTATTTATAGGATATTGATATTTTGGGTTAATGTTTCTAATAATAGAAGTTAGATAAATTAAAAAAACAACCAAATATTAATTTAAAACAAAAAGTAATTTCATCATTTAAGTGGCAAATTAAGTCTTCAAAATTTCAAATATTTGCGCTTCAATTTAACGAGCCCGACAAACGAAACCTGGACTACATCTAATTCACAATCTAACTTCGCAATAGATAGACACATTTTTAAAAAAATTAGTTCAGTTGAGCGATGATGCTAAAAAAGTTTAAACAGGTGTTAAACGAATGAATTTTTTTTTATGTTAACTTATTTCATATAACAAATTACAAAATTTTGCTCTTATTTAACTGAAAATAAAACCATTTTTGTCCTAATTTTGTCCTACAAACTTTTTTTTATATTAAAAAGCGAGTTGTTCAGTTCAAGATGTAGAAAAATAGAAAAACGCGTAGATAGGAACGAACACGATGTTCAAGAAATTTTAAAAGCACTTATAAATTAAAGCGGATTTGTCCCGCGAAAAAAAGATTATTTATGTAGATTTTAAAGATCGTTGCGTCTATCTGGCTTAGAGATCTTATGTGTGTAAATGAGTAATAAGCTGATTCAAACACATTCATGTTATGCCAAAGACGATTTGTCTTCTTGCAGTTATGTTATGTCGGCGTGTTCTCTTTCCTTTACGGTTTTATTGGTGTACCAATGATGTATATCATCATTGTCGTGTCATCCTTGTTAGTGTCAGCTGGTCGGGCAAAAACTTCGCTAGAATGATGCACTTTCGAAGATGGTGAATCTTTTTGTGGCACTGTCGACAATGATGATGATGACGACGACGAATATAATGTTGATGAGCTGGTGGCAGGTTTTCCGTTAAATTTGTCGTCGTGGTCGTATCGAACGATGTAACGTAACGATCGTCATCCTATTGACTACCGCTGTTGCTATTGTTTTCTATTTGCTCGCTACCTCTATTTTTTTGTTTGCAAATTATTTTCATTAAGAAGTTATCGCCAGCGTAGAACTTTTTCTTTTTGTCGCTGGGTTTATTGCTTGGCAAATTGTCCAACTCGTAAGAGCGATTTACGGCGTGACCGTCACCTTCCTTTAATGTGTCGCGATCGCAATCCTAATTATTCGTGCTTTTGTCGTCCGAATTTCATTATTAATAAAAGTTTATTAAATTAATCTCTGAATTTATAAATGTTAAAAATTATTCAGAATTCAAGCTAGTATTGTCCGAATATATGTGTTTATACAGTTGGTGATGTACAAATGTACATTGTGATGCAATATCCACGTCAATCTTCGTTTACAAATTAATATATAAAAACAATAGTATTTATCAAACTTGACATTGCCTAAAACATCTGTGACATTATGTATCCCTCAGTTGCTCACAGTTTTTGTAGGTCACCTACGATTATTACTAGTGATTTTTTATGAAAGTTTCGCAAACGCGTTAAAACTTGTGGCGTTGAAGCATATCTTGTTTGTAGTTGAGTGAAATGTTGTAGCTTGCACAATTGTCAAGTTATCGATATTCCGTAGGTTCGTAATTCTGATAGATAAAGACAACAGCTTCGAAATCAGTTTTGTTTAGACGTTTATCTGAATGCCAACAGTCATAGAAACACAAAATTATTTACTGATCCAAGAAATACTCACAATCGCAAATAATTCACATCGAAAACTCCATAATCCACAACTTAAACCTCGCTACTAACTTCGCTACTTCAACAACACAGACAACACGTGCTCTGCAGTGTTGTAACACGTGCTCTGCAGTGTTGTAAAATTAGATTTTTGCAATCGAAAGATGATAAATATAGCAAAGATAACAAATAATTAAGATAACAATCAAAAATAATTAATTAGCGGATATGACAATACGATAGAAAAATCATGATAGCTTGATAGAAAGAAGGATAGATGGATATTCAGAGAGTTAGTTAGTTAGATAGATAATCAGATAGTTAGATAGATAGAAAGATAGATAGGTAGATAGATAGATAAATAGATAAAATTCTCTATAAATATATAAAATTATATATATAGAGAGAAAAAAATGGAGATAGGAAGGAAATTTACGTACATTATATTTTTTCATAAAAAATATGTGAATCATCATCTACGGTTGTACCATATACTTATTCTTGTACCTTCTACGCATAGTCTAGCATGGTTTTGTTTCTATGGCCGTTTTACAACTTAATTTTAGAATCTTTGCATGTTTGCGGGTGTATATATTTGGCCTGCATCGCCTATTTTAGTCAAGTTGTTTAGTAAATATTTTACTGGCAGCTGTGTCTGAAAATTTTTATACAATTCTTTTAAAAGGTGAGTAAATAAATAAATTTATTCGACAGGATCTCGTGGTTATATCGAAACATAACTAGTCAATTTTGGCAGTAGTTATACTTAGTAGACAAAGATGAGAAACGAAGACGGTTAGTTTTATTTAGCTGTTACTCATATGTAGAATGAAATATAATATTCTATAAATTCTACAGAATGTTTGGCGTTAATATGTTTGTAGTTCGTTTTTTCGATTTTTCTCACTAAAGTTTTTTGGAAAAAGTTTAGTTTATTAAAACTCAAAATAAACTTAATTTTCGAATAAGGTCATATTTTGATTCCGAATGAATCATCGTCAGTGCAAGTTGGTTTATATAGGGAAATATTCACAAATATAAAAATTTTTACAAAGTGAATATTTCCCTATATAAACCAACTTGCACAGACGAAGATTCATTCGGAATCGAAATATGGCCTTATTTGCCGCATGAATTCGGAAAATAAGTTTATTTTTAATTTTAAAAAACTAAACGTTTTCAAAAAAACTTTAGTGAGAAAAATCGAAAAAACAAACTACAAACATATTAACGCAAAACATTCGGTAGAATTTATCGAATATTGTAAAAATTATGGTCTTTTACCAACATTTAACAAAATATAAATATATAATATTGGGTATTAAATTAGAAATTGAAATTCCTATTTCAGACATGTTTGTTATTATATATTAATTAAATAATAACTTATGTACCCAATCAGTTGATATGGATGATGAAAGTGATGACGTTACATCAGAACTCTGGCAGGAAGCTTGTTGGACCGTTATAAGTTCCTATTTTGAAGAAAAGGGTCTGGTTAGGCAGCAGTTGGATTCCTTTGATGAATTCATGCAGACATCTGTCCAGAGAATTGTTGATGACACTCCGCAGATCGACTTGCAGGCCGAAGCACAACATACCAGTGGCCACATTGAGAATCCGGTTTGCATTTTTCTCACCTTTGTCTATCATATGATTTTTAAATTTACTTAAATATTTTGTATTATTCTCCGATTTTATTAACATCAATATATTTTTATTATTACTTTTTAAAATATTGGCAAATTTTTATGACAAAAATTTATTTTAATTAAAAATAACTACTAATTACAGCCACAATATCAATTGAAATTCGAGCAAATCTACTTATCGAAACCAACGCACTGGGAGAAAGATGGCGCTCCTAGTCCGATGATGCCCAACGAAGCTCGTCTTCGTAACCTGACGTACTCGTCCCCCCTTTATGTCGACATCACTAAAAAAGTCATTAGGGATGGGCAAGAACCAGTCGTTACAAATCATCAGAAAACTTTCTTAGGTTAGGAAGAGTTGATATGTTTTCTTCAAAAAAATACAAATTTATAAAATATTTTTTCCATTATAATTGTTAAAAATACTAATGCTAGTATAATATTTTAATGACTTTAAAACATTTTCCAGGTAAAATCCCCATAATGTTGCGATCCACCTACTGTTTACTTAGTGGATTGACAGATCGTGATCTGACAGAATTGAACGAATGTCCACTTGACCCTGGGGGCTATTTCATCATCAATGGTACCGAAAAGGTTATCATCGCCCAGGAGAGGATGGCCAACAACACAGTGTACGTTTTTAGTCAGAAAGATTCTAAATACGCCTACAAAACCGAGTTGAGATCGTGTGTGGAACATTCTTCGAGACCGTCCAGCACCATGTGGGTCAACATGATGGCCAAAGCAGGAAGTGTAAGTCATGATGATGATGCTATGATGATGTTGGCAATTGTTGTCACCTTACGTCACCATATGTCATCTTGTGTTATAACGGCCGTTATAACTTATAACGGCTTATAACTGTATAACCATTTTCATTTTTTAGGGTGCCAAAAACGTGGGTATTGGACAGAAGATCGTGGCTCTTCTTCCATACATCAAACAGGAAATTCCTATCATCATTGTCTTCAGGGCTTTGGGATTTGTATCAGACAGGGATATCCTTGAACATATCATCTACGATTTTGATGATCCTGAGATGATGGAGATGGTGTGTTTCACAATGATTATGATTATAATGTATTATGACAATGATGATAATAAAAATAATGGTGGTATTTCTAATGATCTAATGTTGATAAGATAAGTGAAATAAATTTTATATGCCAAAATAAATTTCATATTTAGGTCAAACCATCGATAGATGAGGCATTCTGTGTCCAGGATCAGCAGGTGGCCTTAAACTTTATTGGAGGGAGGGGGTTGAGAGCTGGGGTGATCAGAGAAAAGAGGGTCAAGTACGCTAAAGAGATTCTCCAGAAAGAGATGTTGCCGCATGTCGGTATCAGTAACTTCTGCGAAACCAGAAAGGCATATTTTCTTGGGTTAGTTGATGATTGGCTGGTTTAATGAAGGAATGAATGAACAAAAGGAGGAAAGAATAAATGTTATTACTTTATAACAGCACTATAA